ATAGGAAACAGGAGAGCAGCCCCCCCACACACACACACCATACACACAACCCCGCCCTTACGAGCCGACGACAAGGCAGCCCGGGAGAAGGCCCCTTAAACCCCGGAGGCCGAAGGAACGAGCTCGTAGGAAGGGAGCGCACTCGAGGCTCCCCTCAGTGCCACAGCCATGCTTCTGGGGGCCTCGATGAGTGCCACGCTCTGAGGGCCACACACGCAGCGAATGCTATCTTGGGAACAAGACCTGTTGGGATTACCTGGGTAGGACCTGCTGGGATTTCGTACGCGAGCGGGACAAGTCGGGAGCTCGTGAACGGGACTTTTGGGGATTTCGTGAGCGTAACCTGTTGGGATTTTCCGAGCCTGACCTGTTAGAATTTCCAGATCCTGACCCGTTGGGAGTTTGTAAACGAGGCCAGTTGGAATTTCCCGAGCCTTGACCTGCTGGGATTTCTTTCCTGAGCCTGACCTTTTGGGACTTCCCGAGCCGACCTGTCGCGATTTCCTTCGTGGGCGAGACCTGGTGCCTTTAGGGGAGCGAGCAGTTGCCCCGTATTTTGCTGCTCCCTCTTAGCAATAACAACATACAAGCCCGTAATCGGATTTGCAGCGAACCCTCGCCACCGCGGGCTGAGTGGGCGGCCTGAGGGTCGGACGGGGGAGGGCGTGAAGGTCGGGATAAAAGGGAAAGGAAGGGGAGGGATGAGGGAGATCGAGGGTGGAGTTGAGGGAGATAAAAGGTGGTGTTGAGGGAGATCGAGGGTGGAGTTGAGGGACTCTGAGGGTGGAGTAAAGGGACGTTGAGGAAGATGTAGGATGGAGTTGAGGGAGACTGAGGGTGAGCAAAGGATGTAGTTGAGTTGAAAAAAGGGTGATACTGAAGGGAAAAAAGGGTCATGTTGAGAGAGACTGAAGGTGGAGTTAAGGGAAACAGGATAGAGTTAAGGGAGATAAAGGATGAAATTGAGGGAGATAAAGGGTGGAATTGAGACTAGGAGTGGCGAGAAAATAGAAGCTAGAATGAGCATAGAAGGGTGGAGGTTAATGCTACAGCAAGAGAAAAGAAGTGAGTGGACCGAAGAAAGAGCAGCGAGGTGAAGTCAGCCGGGAGGGTCTTCTGAGAACTTCCTAAGGAAATGAACATGTCCAGGAAAAGGCGTTTTCTTTTTTCCAGGCTTTTTTTTTACTGATATACAGCGTGAATGTGTGTGTGTGTGTGTGTGTGTGTTTATGTATGTTTGTGTGTGTGTGTCTGTGTTTGTACTAGTATGTGTGTTTGTATTAGTGTGCGTATTTTTCCTCGTTGAAATCTTCGCCATATTTTAAGTTTCATCCTCATTTCCTCAGCTCTTTCTGCGCAGGTACCATCCTCATTCCCCACACGTCGATATGGGCAGATTTGATGGCCCATATAACCTTGGAATCCGGGGACAGTTCCCAGTGTGTAACGGCGGGGAACAATTTACTGTCCCATATACGCGTGGAATTGTCCAATGAACCGTTTAACTATGGGACAGTGTGTAGTAGCTTGTGTATTAACGGACCACTCTCGCTCCCATTACCAATATCTGCTTTAAGCTGACCTGTTACCCTGATGTAGAAATATATATGTGTAGGTTTGCAGGAGCAGCAGGTTCCATGTGTGGCAGACAGCTGGATACGCCGGTGACAGCTGGAGCGAAAGGCCTGGGGAGAGAAACCGAAGACGGTGATTGTTTGTGTTTTCGTATTTGCTTTAGTATATACACGTGTTTAAAATGTGCTACACCTGTTGCGTGCGAGGCGGTGGGGGCCGTTCGAGCTGATAGGATTTAGGATTCGTAGTTTATCGGACCGACGTAAAGAAAGCCGAAAACCGAAGGAAGAGAGGGTCGTAAACCCGCTCGTCCAGAACGGTGAAAGGGTGTGATTTTTTTCGTTCTTTGTTTGTTTGTTTTGTTGTTTTTTGTGTGAAGAAAATGGCTTTTGTATCATTCTTGTTTTTCCTTTGGCATTTGGTGCCTATCTGTGGATGTGCTAAATAATGATCTTTTCCCTCACCGAACGCAGGTAGAACGATATTGGTGACATTAAGTGATCCGATTCTGACGCGAGTGCCAGTGAGTGCATGAGGCCAAGATGACGAGAGAGGCGCGAGAGCCGTGTGGACATGGTGACCTGGAGGGCACCGCGTGAGGCACCCGCGTGACCCGCGCCGCCGCCGTGACGGCTGGTGCGCCTGCACGCCAGTACGCCCACACCCGTCGCCACGCCCACCCCCGGCCCTCACCTCTCCGGTTCCCGCCCTCGAGTCTCGTCCAACGCTATCCGAATTCGGCCCCAGCCGAGTCTGAGCCGCTGTGACTGTTGCTAAAGGCCAGACAGAGGAAAAGGAAAGAAATATGCTCGATGAGCTCTAAGTGCAACGCGGAGTAAACGCTCGCCTCTTTCGACGCCCCTTCCTGACCCCCGGTTGACCCCCGCGACCCCAACCCCCTCTGCGGCGAGGTCGAGGGGTCAGG